AATATTTTCGAATCCTGAATATTAGTCACCGTAACGGAGATTAGTCATGCTCCGTAAAGCGGAAAAAAGCTGAATGCACGGCTGGGAGCTGCCTATGGGGCGATCATTTTTTACAACCAAAGCACAATGACTTACGGTTGCGCGTAACGTACCGCGCAGGAAATACAGAAGCAACGAAACACGAATAAATATGGCCTAGTTGCGATCTTTGTCCCTTGACATATCGAATTTTTAATTAAATTAAAATAAAGAAATCTTCATATCCAATATACGTTACAGCAGAGATGAAAAAGAAAATACTGTCTAAGTTGCTTTGAGATCCACATAACCTTAAAATTTGATTTCCATTACGATGATATAAACTTATTTTTATTGGGGTAAATATTTGAAAAGAATTTTCCTTGATCCAGATATCATTGCCCAGAGTTTAATCTTTAAATCAACCGAGCATATAACCTCCAATAAAATCTAAGTATAATATATTTAGATCGAAGACACTAATTTTAAAATAGCGTTCTTAAGACCTCGACCTGTATACAGGGTGAGCCACATAGTCTGTGAAAGATAATAACTGGAGGTCTCCAAAAAAGTTGTTCAATTGGTGGAGAATAATTTTTAAAAATTGCTAGTTTGTTAGTTCTTTGTGAACATTAAACCTACTACGATTGGTCACCTGACTGGTTGAATGCTTTGTATTTGAACTGGACGAAATTTGGTGTCAAATTCTGGTTAGCTTCCGACCCACTGAACGAGTGACCGAGTGACGCAGTGTGTACTATTTACTACGAGCACGCGCGGTCAATGACCTCAGGAAGAAAGTAAACAAACCCTTATATCTCCAGAACTAGCCACCGCATCGACTTCAAACTAAAATCGCTGTATCTCCGGAACTAATAACGCTATCGACTCGTATAAACGCTCATTTTAAAGGGCATTTCACCCTCTATCTAACGATCATATCACCTATTATAATTTATGCTGTCTTCTACTTTTATTTTGAAATTTACTTTGACGCTACATACCCAAAAAAGTTTCAGCAGTTCCTACTGATTGTACGACTAGTGTTCGATAAAATTGGATCATAAATTGTTTATCTAATTGAAAATTAATTTAAAACTAAATACAGAATGTTTGATCGGTCATGGTAGTGTAATGGGTGTACATGAAGTGATTGTAGGTTTAGTGTTAAAAGACAATACCACATTTTAACGACCTGAATGTTTTCCAAAAATGTCTTTCCGGAAATAACGGTCAGCCATTAACGATGTCACGCGCAAATCTGTTTCCGTAGCGGGCAGAACTTTAAATCTATTGAATCGTTTCGCCGCGAAGGTTCGTCAACGAAATCAGGTTACGAAAAGTACGCTGATTGTCCACTCCTGTCGCTGGCCAGAAGGCAAATCGGATTCCGTGAGATCGATTGGACACGTTGCCGGAAAATTCCGCGTTGCGTAAAATACAGCAAATGGGTATCATGTCGGGGGCGCAGCATGCAATTGAAGGAATGAATCGCGTTTCAACCGGAAGATAAATTTGATCGCTGTCTTTCCCGCGTACTGGCATTATCGAATTTTTCGAAGCCTCTGTACGATCCTGATTTCGCTAACGTGGTCAACTGGAGAAACATTATTCTCCTTTTTCCTCATTTTTACCGATTTATTTACTTTTAAAAGGAATCTGGTACAAGCAAGAAATGATCACAGTATTCCCTCGCTTAATGCTTTTTTAGCCTGAATAGACGAATGAACAACTCTGTAAGTAGAATCTCCTGTTAGCAAGAATAGACTATCGTATTTGGAATCATTTTTTTTTTTGGAAATTTCTTTTGGTCCGTATGAAATGCTAAAATTTTCATTGCTAGATTGGTACGGATTCCTCATTACAATAACTTGAAACTGATGCTCTTTTCATATCCAATTTCAATAGTCGAATCAACGTATACAAAAGTTAAGAGTTAATTACCCGAAAAATTCCGACGTAGTCTCGGTGAAAAATTTCTAAAGGGCTGGTCAATATTTTATTGAATGGCGGAGGAGAGTCTGGTCGGGGCTCCAGTCAAGTTTCCAACGTCCTAATTCATTTATCTGAACGCTTCGACGCTCTTTTTTAACAATCGAGGACCACGTAACCTAAAATTCGTGGTATTTTCATAACCTCGTCGAAATTTATGAATTTCATTCAGATTTGTTTCCCTCGACGATCGAAAATAGTGGTTTTTAGTTAAAAGTTCCATATGTTTTTACGATGTGGTATTTATCTTCCCAAACGACTAGAAGAATGATGGCGTCCTCGAGGTTGGCTCTCGACTCCAAGGTCGCGTTCGCCAATGCTGTCCCGAATGGCACATATTAGGTCAGGGCATTTCTTATCTGTCGGAGGCTGTCAACGTGACTCGGTGACGTTATTTTTTGGCCACAAAGTTGCCTAGCGAGGCCGTGCAACTCAGTGCGCGAGGAAAACTGCTGGAAGAAAGTTTCCTTTGGTATCTGACGGTCGATAAGACGACGCGGGAAAGATAAATGATCCCTTTCTTGATGGTATCGGGGCTTCTTCCGATGGTAAATCTCGCACGACATTTGTTTCAACTGGAAAAGATGGAGAAACTTTTTTGTTCGGTCGCTAGCTTATATTATCTGTTGTCTTGATTGCAGATGTTTTTTGATGCGTGAAGAGACCCGGGGACAAATATTCGTGCAAATGTTACTCGAATTATATCGCGTTTGGTCTCATTTTAACCAGAAAAGTATCACAAATACATTAAACAAAATTTTATTTATTTATTCACTCATTAATTTTGCCTTCTTCTCATTATTGCCTCGTTTTTCTCGCTTTCCCTTTCTTTCTACGTTCGTCCACGCGGCAAATGGCACGGCACGTGGTCGACCCTCGATAAACGCGCCGCCACGGACCCGAGTAACGTGCATATAACGCGGGAGTACTGTAGAAAGGTACTCAAAGTTCGCTGGCGACTCAGCGCGACGCCATCCATCGAGGTTTTTTCTCCCCCACGTTTTCTCGCGAACATCAAACACGGATCAAGGGAACGTCCGTTAGCGAGGATCCCTCGTGGAAGGCCAGGACACAAAAACCTCGAAGGACAAAGGCGAAAGCTGGGCGAAGTAATCAAAGCTGGGCCGAGACGCGGATCCCTGGTCCCGGCGGCGATGTCGTTTTCATCGCGGAATAAAAGTACCGTTCTTTAGGGAGAGATGCCAACGGATGCGAGGAGGGGGTGGTGGTGGGTGTTTTTCATCGGCCGCTCGGGCAGAATCGCTAGCGCGGCCGCCGTCGGAATAATTGACCCAAATGTACCGCAAAAATAGCGGATCATAAATTACACGGACGGAACGGGAGTGCACTTGACACAGCCCTGTCGCGACACGGTCAACGGAGCTAGAGAGGCAGACGACGCGGCAGAAAAAGAGGGTTCCATTCAAGGTTACTCATTCTTCCGGCACGTCCTCGTTTCGAGTGGCGCGACAATCGGGGAACTCGACTCTTCAAAGGGTTGAGTCGCGCAGTCACTTTCGAAACCGAGAACTGGTAGGGCTACCAGCGTCGTTTGGAATAATTACTAGGTAATATCGTTCTACAGTGAAGCAGGGGAGGGGTCTGCTTCATAGTTCCACGTTTTGGTCTTGTTCATTTTACTTCAGCAAATTAGGCTCTAATACTTCAGTACTGGACAATAATGGTAAACTTGGGAAGGCTACCAGCGTCGGTTGGAATAATTACTAGGTACTATCGCTCTACAGGAAAGAGGGGTCTGCTAAGAAGTTTTTGTCTGAACTTCATAGTTCCATGTTTCGGTTTCGTTCATTTTACTTCAGCAAATTAGGCTCTAATACTTCAGTACTGGACAATAATGGTAAACTTGGGAAGGCTACCAGCGTCGTTTGGAATAATTACTAGGTACTATCGCTCTACAGGAAAGAGGGGGCTGCTAAGAATTTTTTGTCTGAACTTTATAGTTCCATGTTTCGGTCTCGTTCATTTTACTTCAGCAAATTAGGCTCTAATACTTCAGTACTGGACAATAATGGTAAACTTGGGAAGGCTACCAGCGTCGGTTGGAATAATTACTAGGTACTATCGTTCTACAGGAAAGGGGGGTCTGCTAAGAATTTTTTGTATGAACTTCATAGTTCCATGTTATGGTCTCGTTCATTTTACTTCAGCAAATTAGGCTTCACCCCTAATTTTAATGGCAATTTAAATATTTTTTAGACTGTACTTCCTCGAACGATTTCTTAACGATGTTTTAATGTAACTAGCGCGGAGCAGAATAATTAATTTAATTATAAAGTTGATCGTCTGATCTGGTCTATCAAAGGCGAGTTTTATTGGGCGTCAAAAAGGAGTCGGGAGGAAACGAATCCGCTGGCACGGTGCAGTGCTGTGCAGACCGAATAAATTGAATAGCTCGAATGATTGTAATGGATTGAGTAGATTAAGCAAGTAGTACAAACAAATCGAATAAAGTGGGTCGTGTAGTGGGCTTGATACCCCTCTCCTGTAGAATACCTCAATCGAGATGATAAGAACTTGGTATCGTGTTCGAACAGCCGTAAACCTGTTTCGTTAAAATCAGGGGTGGCTGTAGTAGTCATTAACAAACAAACCAAGTCCTATTTCTTATACTCTATATTTGCAATTATAAATAGCGTTGAAACCACTGAAATACGCCCATAGTCGTATAAAAATCCAAGTAACAACCTTCATAATAATAATTATTTAAACTATGTTTATATATATAAAAAAACAACATCTATTATTTTATCCAAAGTCGATAAAACGTAACGAAAAAAAAAGTATTTGTATCCCAAAATGTTAGAGAATATACATGGAAAGTGGTGAGAAGTTTCATCAAACCCTTATGCTGTAAAAAAAATAGTCAAACATCAGATCTCGGTTTACCATTTAGCACGAGTCTGCCCCCTTAATATACTCGTTGGGTCTGTCGCGGAACGTCCCTAATCGATTCTAAACTCTGTTTCCAGGTCACCGTCGAGACTACCAGGCTGAGCACGTAGAGGAGGACCGTCCAGGAGTCTCTCGAGCCGTCCGGGATCGTCCCTGAAACGGGCAGAGCGTCTCTGTCGCGTCCCGTTATCGGAGATTACGCTGGCAATCGTCCCGGGGTGCGGGAAACTTGGCAAGAGGCAACGCCCTTTCCGCGACGAAGATGAAGGCCAACCTGGTACGTCGGCTCGTCGGCACGTCCGTGACCTAAGGCCGCCCGTCGTGTCTCTTCCGGCCGAAGAAGAGGAACAAGGCCAAGGGAAACACGGTACAAACGGAGACTGAGCATGACGACGATCGCTACGACCTCCGAGCCGACGGAGGTGTCGCCGGTGGACGTGACGACCCTGCTGAACGCCATATCGACCGAGGAGGGTCAGTTCGCCAACAGCACCTACCCGAACGAGCCTAAGTGGTCCGTGCCGGCCACAATCGCGAAAGGCTGCCTCCTCGGTTCCATAATCCTGACCGCCGTGTTCGGTAACCTCCTGGTGATGGTGTCCGTGATGCGGCACAGGAAGCTGCGCATCATCACAAACTACTTCGTGGTCTCGTTGGCCCTGGCCGACATGCTGGTGGCGATGTTCGCGATGACGTTCAACGCGAGCGTACAGATAACCGGGAGGTGGCTGTTCGGTTACTTCATGTGCGACGTGTGGAACTCGCTGGACGTTTATTTCAGCACCAGCTCCATCCTCCACCTGATGTGCATCTCGGTGGACAGGTACTGGGCGATCGTCAAGCCCCTAAAGTATCCAATCATCATGACGAAACGTATCGCCGCGTACATGCTGCTCGCCTGTTGGGTGATGCCGGCCTTCATCTCGTTCGTGCCCATATTCATGGGCTGGTACACCACCGCCGAGAACAGCATGCACAGGCGCAAGCATCCCGAGCTCTGCGAGTTCAAGGTGAACAAGATCTACGTGATATTCTCGTCGAGCATCTCGTTCTGGATACCCTGCACGATCATGACGCTCACGTACTTCGCGGTGTTCAAGGAGGCCAACAGGCAGGAGAAGCAGATGCACAGCAGAATGGGTAACGTGATGTTGCTTAGCCACAGGCCCAGCAAGGATCTGAACAATCTGAACGGTGAGCTGAACAGTGCCGGGTCGTCCAAGACATTAACGTTGAACGAGATCAGCACCGATCATCTGCACACGCCCACCAAGGACAAGAACATCATGAAGATGAAGAGGGAGCACAAAGCTGCCAGGACGTTGGGCATCATCATGGGTACCTTCATACTGTGCTGGTTGCCGTTCTTCTTGTGGTGCGTCCGAGCATTCTTCGCGATGGACACTTTTCGTTTACGTCAGTGGGTGTTGAAGTTCCTTCGTTCTTCGGTTTCCATTCTTTTTTTTTTTAGCAATTTGTTCGTTTAGTGTCACGTGAGAATTTGGGGAAGTGACAGATTCTGCAGACTGGTTGGGTGGAATAGTGTCCATCTTCGCTATGGCGTTCAGGAAATTTATCTTTCTGTTCTGTTTCTAACACGTTCCTCTGTTTTGGTAACCTAGCCTGACGTTGTGTGGAATAATCTTTATCAGAGCTCGTTAGCAAACCTCCCATTGCACATTCACGAAGGTTTCGCGAAGTCTAACCCCATATTCTTGCACTTTAGAATACATAGTGCCTTCAGCTTTCAAAATGCATCGTTCTGCTACCCCTATTTAATCAAAACTTTGAGCGTATTGTTCCCCGAAACTTTTGTTACAAATTCTGTGCCGATCCACGTTGTTGCGAGTATCTTCCAAAGTATGGTTCATCCTGTCCAACAAACTAAATAATTTCTTAGCTCAGACGTTACCCGTTGAAATCTATGTGAGAGTAATTCGATGAGTAAAGAGACAAACGTTTGTTTTAATACGATTCTATGCACTAGGTTCTTTTAAACCAACAGCAAAGAATTCTTTCTCTCGAAGTTTGAGTTAGTTTCGAACATTTCTCTTCGTTTCTTCCATTCCTGTGAAACTCGACTACCGCGCAATGACTCCTAGGAGAGATCGAGCAAAATGAACTTGGATGAAACAAGATCTGAAGTATAAGGTGGATGTTGCTTACATTTTCAACGATTTCTTTTTGTCTCTTTACTTACTGAATGACAAATCTTCCAAAATGGATCCCGCACCAATCACCCCATTAAAACGATACTTTCATTTAATCTTCTAACGTTCCCTCATTAGCTTGAAAGTTGCTTCCTGAATCTAACTCTGCCTGATGATATGTTATTAGCGACGAGGATTGCTCGTGTCTCGGTCTACTGCTCTACTCAAGAAGAAACAGACCTAACCTACAAACTCTTCCATAGTGTTATAGGATTAAAGTCTTTTAGGAGAACCATAATCCTCGTTGCCAACGGAAAGGAGGTTTTCTACTACTTATTCTTAAAACACAAAATTAAGTGACTTCTATAGATTAATATTGGACAAAATATAAGAAATAAAATTAATTCGGAGATACCTTCCCGCAAAGTGTGGGTGGTTCAAGATAAAAAGAAGTCAATTTCTGCAAGAAAACAGCACCTTCCCGGATAACTGAACGGTAAAGACCTCGTCTACCATTCAGTTAACCGGGAGGTATCGATTCCTTCGACGTGAGCGCCAGAATTGCATCGAGAGTGAAAGCTGAGCTTCCTTTGAACGAAGGGATTCTGTTTCAGACCAGAGAATCTGTTCGTAACTTTAAAGCGACAAGTTTCGTGCTGTAAAATCGTTTGTTCGCGATCGACGCGAGGATTGTGGGACTCTTGGGAGCACGTACACCTACAGGTGCCTCTTGAAGTGATCTCTCTCCGCAGGTACGTCATCACGACTCTGTGCGGCGACAGCTGCCCGTGCCCCGATATCGTGATAGCGCTCCTTTTCTGGATCGGATACACGAACTCGGCGCTGAACCCGCTGATCTACGCGTACTTCAACCGCGACTTCCGAGAAGCCTTTAAGAATACGCTGCAGTGTGCTTTCTGCTCGCTCTGCAGACGAGAGCCGTCCGACCTCGAGGCGCTCGATTTCCGTCGGCCGTCCCTAAGGTACGATCTGGTCTGACACATTGAGGTACGCACTACATTCTATCGCTTTTCTCGTTCCCTCTATTCTTCCACACCCCTGCCCCCCTTCGTGATCGTTTCTTGATATTTTATTCTGGTATCACCACGATAAATAGCGCGCCTGACCATTCGATCGACTACTTCCCGGATTAGGGGCACTCGCGCACGAGTTACGGCACTGTCCTTCAGGTTGTCACGTAGTTACGATCACTTGTCACTCCCGTTCTGGATGTATTCGAACGTCGTGCTGGAAATTGTCTTTAAATCTCTTGAACACTCTGTCTTTCAGGTTGTCCGTCTCAGTCGCGAGCCTGTGACAACCGGGGAGACAACGCTGCGTACGCCGGTTTTTCAGCGCGTTAACAGGCTAGTCTGAGAGAAACAGGTCATATATATTGGAAGTCTATTTTCATCCATGTTCGGGGTAAATGTTGCTCGGTTTGATGTCGTAGGTATGTGATAAATATCGATGAAGAACTATTTAAAAAGCACCTGATATATTTTGGCTCGTGTGGGTGACGAATATTTTGATTTAAATACTATTAGAGCCTGTAGAGAACTGTCTGTTTCTGTTTGATTTTCATTGGAGCGAAGAAAAATATTTGGTTGAAACGCACACGTATCAGAGAGACGAAAAATATAGCAAAATAGTGGGAGGTATAGTGTGATGTTTCACAATAGCTTTGAGAAATAAAAATATTTGCTGCCCGCTCTAGTCTATTCCTATTCACTCTGTGACTATATCTGTTTGTAGAAAGGCAACTTGTGTGCAGTATTTTATTGTTGATATGACTCTATAAGGGATGAGAATAGATCTACAGTGTATATGACATTGTTTACTCGAAATCACCCGCCAAGATTGTTGGTTACCTAGAACGACACCCTGTAGAATTGTGTTTCTCGAGTATTAAATTAAAAATTCCTCCTCAATGTGAACCCAATATTGCTTAATAGAAATTCAGTGATTCAGTCAATGTCTACAAACATCAATGCAAGTAGAAACATCGAGTAATGGTCAAACAAGTCATAAACGTACCCCAAAAATATTCAAAATCAATTTTCTCGAAAACGAAGGCTCGAATAAAAATACATTATTCCACATTCTCGATGTAGTTTTACACGATGAATCACCCTCTGGACGCTGATACCAGACACTGTAGGTTACCCTGTACAAAACTTTGAATACGAATTGCGGAATTTCCATAAAGCAATTTAAAATGAAATATGAACGAACCAAAAAATTTCACTATCGATTCATCGGACGGAATTGATATCCAACCACTACGTTTACAAATAAAACTCCAAGTATTCTTTCGAGGGAACAAACCGAATCACGTGGATCATGAAAATCACGGTTAAAGACATCGGTGCCACCTGAATTCACGGCGCAAGAAAATGCCATAAAACGGGGGTGATTAGAAGCGTGGGCGGCGAGGTGGGGTGGGCATTACTTTTAATTTCGCCGGGAGAAAGTAGGGCAAGTCGAGAACGGGATGCTCAACTTTTTCACACAAATGCGAGCGTAACTCAGGAAACGCGTGCTTCTTCCACTTCGCTCCCTTCTCTTCGCAAAGTGGTTCGCCCGAAGTAAGAAACGGACGACGAATCTTTCGCGACGCGAAGCCTCGATCGCAAAATTTCTCTTGCGTCATGAAATTTTAATGATCTTCGTAAGAATTCGTTGGTCATGGACCAACAATCCCTTTTAAACTATCGTGAGAAATGCCTTTGTATTCTCAGTAGTCCCCGGTTATATGAAATAATTTCTCCCCCCGGTTACATGATATTAATGAAACTTTTGTATTCCCATGAAAATGTTATAAACGAATTGTACGGGGTTCCCCGATGAAAATGAGTCCAAACTCAACCATATTCGGACTACTTTTAATTATAAGTTTTCCAAAATTTTTTTACTAAACTCAAAATGTATATAATTAAAAATAGTCCGAATGGGGTCGTGTTTGGACTCATTTTCGTCGGGTGAATCGCGTCAGGAGACTGGTCCTAACACTGGTTCTTATTTCCCTCGCGTTGAGCTTTTCGTTGTTCTGCTTCCACCTTCGTTCCTTGTAAAGCGAATAAGTTGCTGGACTTTGCGACTCCGATTATTAGAGACACGTCCAGCTGTTTCTCGCGGGACTTTACGGCGAATTCCGGCCCTTATTCTACGGTAAAATAGCGAGCACCGAAACCTAACCTTAAAATACGATTTTTACACTCCGTCAACGGGGATAAAAATGTTTCTCGATTACTCGGGGAACGAGCGCGCCCGTCAATATTTGCGCCCACGATAATACGGGGTACAAAAATGTTTGTGTTTATCGATACATCCGCGTATTATTCAAACACGCGTTCTGTACGATGAACACCTCACGGATTGACACAGGTGTTGCAATTGCTGTCGCAATTTCCGGGAAATTACAGTACGCGTTTCAACGACCGACCGGAGGAAGAAACGATGATGATACGTTTTATGATTTTTCTTTTCTTTACCCAGCGTTAAAGTTCGGTCGTAAAACAATAACTGTGAAAATAAATTACTCGTGGACGCCAAAAGACATTAGAAAAGACATTTTGCGTTGGACTTGGTCGTCCTAAACTTGTCTAATGATTTGCAAAAATTGATTGACAATCGTTCTAAAACTGAACCCTCGAGCCCATCACCATTCGTAGATCGATCACAAAACCTTGCGACGACAAATCTCCAGTCTCCACCACACAATCGCCATTCGATTGGTAGAAAAAATGTATTGGTTGCCACTTTCTGCTTCTGCTTGCAGGTACGACGACCGCACTAAGAGTATATACTCGGAGACGTACGTCAAGCACATCGACCGACGAAGATCGAGCGAGTTTGGTAGCAGTCTCTGAGAAGACAACAACTTTATACGTTAACTGCAATCGCAACAAGATACGAATAATACGTACACACCCACCTATACATCCGTATCATCATCCACACACGCAATAAACCGACGTTAACGCGTCGGACGAATACGTACGCGTAGCTCGCATCGAGAGATTCTTCGTCATATTGCCAAAAAAAAAAACAACAAAAAACAGAAGAAGCAAAAATCCGAATCTCAACGAGTATTCGCATTTTGAACATTCTGAATGGCCTCGTGTATTTTCGGTTTCAGCGGCTGCCGTCCCGAAGCTTCAAACTAAGCCTTCAAGTCCCGATCACGCGTGAGAATATCGACGACCGACGGAATATCGAGAAATAGATTTTCCGAGACGGTGTTGTACATTGTGCATCATCGGTAGGGACCATCGAAAATATATTATTTAATATCACGCCGGTCGGGAATCGAAAGTACGAATCAGGCTTAACCATCCACCATTTTGAACTCCAGAAGTCGTCCGATTGGCTTCATTTTCATTCCAAATTGTAGATATCAACAAAAATAACAAAAAAGTCTTATATATTTTTGGCGTAGTATGGATAGTTTAGCCAAAATATTAAGTTTCTTGCCGCGAAGTGCCTTTGTCAAGCACGTACCCATTCAAGGGAGCACTTCGGGACAAGAAATTTAATATTCTGAGCGAACTATCCATCCTGGAACAAAAATATACAAGACTTTTCCTTTCGTTTTTTCGAGATCTACAATTTGGATCGAAGATAAAACAAATCCATCTTCAAATTTTAACGTTTAACGCCGTTTTGCGTAAAACTGGCTGATTCTAAACTCTAGAATCTGTTTCGAATCTTCCTTTTAAAACCAGTCCCACTTCACTTTCGAGGCTCCCTAAAGTTTGACAAAATGTCGAGATCTCAGAAGACTGCTGGAGAAATCGAAACTGCAGGGGGCCAGGGAGCACAAGGGCACGCGAGAATCGTGTGACGTCGCCAAACCGTCACCAAAGATGCACACTCGGGGCAGGTACACACGCATACAACGCATAGATCACGTCACATTGCCAAAGATAGTATTTTTAAGAGAAGCTTCCGTGACAAGAGAGAGAGAGCGAGAAAGAGAAAGAGAAAGAGAAAGAGAAAAAGAGAGGACGCGTTCCACGCCGGGATCGACCGATCTACGGAGAGACGAGGAAGAAGGACAACGCGCGCCATGTCGTCGACCAGGTCAGATCAACCAAGTCAGACCAAGTCGTCGGTATTCTTCGTCGTCCTTTCGACGCTTCGATAAATGTCCGATTGGGTGGCCAAGTTCATTAGCTCGACGTTCCCCCCTCCCCCCTGCTCGACGTTGCTTCCGCTTCCATTTTCCAGCGCGAGCAAAATTGGCAGTTCCAGCGTTGGGCTCTGAGCTGAATCCCAGAGGCGAGCGCAGAGCCACACGGCGGCCATTTTTTTATGGCCAGATGTCGCTCCGGTAGCTGCCATTGCCCCCCAAGTTGGGCCACGGTCCTTGACCGACAGTCTGTCAGCGCCGTACTCGAGAAAGATGGCGCGTAGAATTGTTGATATCGTTGTTGCTGTTTAATTAAACATTATTTATTGCCGGCGAGAACATCCCGAACGCGTTAGCATATTTCGTTTCAATGCTGCTGGTCTCAGCGGAGCCCGAACACTTCCAATTCGAGACACGCTACGTACGAAACCAAAGAGGTCGTTATTGTTATCCAGTTGTTGTTTAATCATTATTATTTATTATCACCAGGTTATTTATTCTACGGTTAAGCTTTGGAGAGAGATTCGAGTATTGTTGGTCGTTGGAGGTCGGAGTTTTGTTAAGTTTGAACGGACCGCGTTTTGGATCGAGAGCACCGCATGACTACGAGACACGAGCGTCGGTCGTGTTTCGCGAAACGTTTTACAGCGTCTGTTGTTCCTTCCTTTTTTTTTTTTCTCAAAGAGTATATATTCATTACTTGAAAGGGTTTGAACGGATATAGTACGTTGTCAAGTTTGCTCTCTAATCGTTTGTTTAATCGTATTCAGCGCCCCTTCGAGCTAGGATCGGAATCGAGTGGATGCGATAACTTCGATTTTCGAAGAAACCATGTCCTCCAAATCATCCTTTCTTTTCAGAGAGGGCGACAGAACCTAACCTCGGGACTCAACATTTCCAACGAGTTGTGAATATTTTTAAACGATTTATTTTGCTCATTTACATACTTATTGTTAGGACACTATCTTGTAAGCAACCAGGTGAAATAACGTTTTCGAAACACCTCAACGTGCCGGACAAATATTAACGTAATGGATCAACGATAGGTTGATGAATGGAAGAATTGTGATCCATCTTCTAATTTCCAGCGAACACGAATTTCCTTTTGTTTTTTCCCCCCCCTCTGGGAGTATTGATTCGCGGTTTCAGGAAGCTCTGTACTCCAGGCTGAGCTCTAGTCGTGCACAAAAATCAATAACAGTGGAATCTCTTTAATCACATCTTGCTGTATTATTTATCTCGCACACTAAAAAATCAGTATTACTATATTTACTGAACGTGTAAAGCTATATATATATATATCGCTTAAAATTCTATAAATTTAGTAAAATACATAAATTGCAACTGTTCGTTTTACCAGGGTACCGATATTAAAGTTTTATCCCACGTTATCGAACATATTTGTCATTTTTGGAGCTGGTGACAATACAGTCTGTGCGTTGAACGCCCAAGGGGCGTTTGGATCGCGTGTATAATGATAGCAACCGTACTGTTCCCGCACACCACGCACTGCACGCGTGCAATTTCATCGCGTACAGTTCGATTCGTCCGCGTTCGATCGAGGTGTTTCGAAAAATAGGAACAAATTTCACAAAAGTCCATTTGCTCACCGTCATCGTCGCCTGGCAGGCATTAATCGACAGAAACGCCATCGGTTGGCTGTTGCAAGAAAGAGCTTTTTACGGAATAAAATTTTTGCCAGCGCAAAGCAACAGTTGTCGGGTCGAAGTTGCCCGACCGTATGAAAAAGACAAGCAAGAAAAAGCCGATGTAACGACGCCGGTTCGTTAGCGGCTCGTTAGATAAAGTTGATTCGCCTGCCACGTTGTAATTTATTCGTCAAATGTATTGCGTACTTTAGCCGTTAATTAATTTTAATCCGCCGTTCGAAATGTGTTTCGTTTACGTTATATTCGATTAATGTCAACCGTGCCAATCTTCGTACGTTTAGTTTGATCGTTAGAATTTTATTTATGACGTTGTTACGTTTTCTCTCATTTTATTTTTTATTCCTGTGCGATTCACCGTTTCTCTGTGATAGGAGTCGTGTATTAAAAAGAAAAAAAAAAAAGAAAAATGGAAAAAAAGATATCACTTGTATACGTGTAAATAGTTTGTAAATAAATACATCGCTCCACGTGGTGGTCAGTTGCAATAACCGTTAGTTGATTACGGCGTTTCTTCCGTGAACGACCTATTAGCTCGTAAACAAATTGTAGCCGTGCGTATTAACAATCAGATGTACCGAGTGTAGAATAAATGGGCGACAGACGACAATTGTGTGGAACGAGAAAAATTGCGCACTACGATTCCGCGGGTTCGGTCGCGTCATTTTATTATCGAAACGTTGTCCTTTTTTTTATCGCCATACGCTCATCACCGATGAAACACGAACATATTTTAAATGTAAGATCAGTGTTTTTATTTCTGTCAGTGATTTTCATACGAGTTTGAACATTATTTTTTACAACGGCTAGGCGTGTATTTATTCGTTTTCATTGAAAGTATGCGTAGCACGTAGATCAGAAGAATCGAGAACAAAAGAGTGCTAAAGAATCGAAGGAGCAAGAAAATTAAAAAGAATTTTGTTACGATCAATTCTCGTCGATACTTCGCAAGTATCCTGTATCGTTTGTAATAATTATGAACACTGGAAATATTCGTCGTCGTACGTGCTTTCTATTATTTCGTTCGTTTCGTGCGTTCAATCTACGAACTAAATGTTTTCGCATAGATTTACGATCGCGTGTGAAATCGTATTCCGATTCGAGTTCTCATGAGGAAAATGTGTCGTTCGAAGTACATTCCGGAAACCTTCGTTTCGTGTTCGTTTCATTTTTTGTATCGAATTCGCAGAAAAAAATAAAATTTCAATACACTTCGGTGACGAAAGTCGGTAACCTTATTCTTCTTTTCAGTAATATTTCGATGAGTCGTTAAGATACAGAAGGTTCGCTGTAGGGAGGTTATTCTTCGTAAAAAAGTGCTTCAAAAATGTGGGGTAACATTTTTTTGTGGGACGCTTGGTTAGCGAGAAAATCGAGCTTGAAAGTTTTTGGGGCGCGACCAGATTCGCGTGCTCCACGGATCTTCGAGCTCAATTTTCTCGAGAACGAAGTCTCGTACGAAAATATTGTACTATATATTATCGATGCACTTTTTCACGAACAATCGATCACTGCCCACCGATACTATAATTTGCGGATCACCCTGCAGATATTTACAAGATCCATATGAAAAGTACAATACTGGACATTTTAAATCAACTTAAGAATCATACTTCTTGTAAACACTGAGAGAAACAAATATTCCTCTTGAAAATACCTTAACAAATTTCTGTTAATGTTGAAAATTAATGAACGTAATTAGAAGTGTCATCAATTCTGTGTTTGTTAGTTATTAATTGCTATTGAAAAGTAGGGGACAGTAACTTCCGACGAAACATATAAAAATATTTATATTTTTGGATATTTTTATAGAATACGTCTTCCTTTATCTTGTTCGAGTATTGTAGAATTGTTGTGTTTGGTGACGTTTTTTTAACGCGTATCAACGAGACGGATGACGAATAAAATATTTGACGGAATTTCGATGTATATCGCGATTTACACAAGTACGTCCGCGCTGGCTAAACGATCAAGTTCACTGGCCGGGCTCGTAAATGAACCCATGGCGAGCCTTTTACGAGCTCTTTACGACTGCACATTCATACCGGTTGCTGCATAAAATAGCTCGCTGCAAGCAACACAGCATTTCACACGATCATTAATCGACTGTCGAATAAAAAAAAAAAAATTCACTCAGGGTGCTTGCTGAGAGCACCCTTCAATCCTGAATTAACGAGCGCCGGGTATATCGACATTTCAGACATTTTTCACCGTCGGAAATAAAACCGGTTTCTGGAAGAAACTAAACGCTCGGGACTTTATTTATTCATTAATGGAAATATTATACCACATTTGATCGATGAGAACGTATCGAGTACCAAAAAAAAAGTTTTATAAAAAATTTACAAGTTTCCGACTTTAAAAAATGATCCCACTAACACACTTCGATTTGAATTTCATTTGAAATTGGCGCGCGTAATGTTCGCTAAGTTGATTATCGGGAAAATCAAAGATTACACGAGGAAAATAGGCGTAGTACCATAAACGTCGTGTGTATCCGTAAAGAATATTTGTACTGACGTAAAGTAACATGCTGGGCAGCACAATCAAATGATAACAAGTTTGTAGAAACAGTATTATCGGTAGAAAACGTTCGAGTACCCGTACGTGTATGCAAAGCTTATTCAAAATATCTGTTGCTTTAAATAATTTCGCTGGTTAAAATATTTATTGTTTCAAATAGATCGTTATTTTCAAATAACGTCGCGAAAAATAAAAGACTGAAATGTTATTTTGAATAGTCATCTCCTATTTTCGTTTCAAATGAAAGGATAAAAATGAAAGGAATTATATTTGTAAATTTCGAAGATTATTAAACAATAAAGACAGCGAAGAGCTATTCTTATGCTACAGCGTGGAGCTCAGACGTTTCAATGTGGAAGAAACTTTGACTCCGCCCTTGGTAACGCCCTCTGCAATTTATTGGGCGGTGTACCTCGTGGACACGCAACGGGGGCGTGTCATGTCGTCATCAGATGTCGCGCTACTGGCTGTAGCCCAACCCACGTGTGGAGTCGACCAGTAGCCCAGCCTCTCAGGACTATGCGCTCGAGCTCCACACTGTACATAATAAGTTGCACTCGGTAGAGCGTTTTGGCGACAAAATATGAAACATAAGGCGACTCATTCCCTTCATATTTTCACCTGCAAACAGTTTCCCTTTCGAGATAAGTTTAATACTAAATTACCATACAATTCATTTAAATTATAACGGAATTGAATAATTACTTGTTACTTTAACCTCCCATTGCATGATCGGTCTGGTACAATAAACAGAATCCTTGCAAGGTTTGCCAAGGTAACAGGCACGTATCGCTTACTTTTAGTATTAATTGATAGACCCACGAATAACCGAAAAATAATTTTATAATTTTGTAAGAATAACATTCGTGCGATAGTGGGTCGAAGGAAACATATCCCCCCCGCGCGAAAATGGTGGTTCGATGATCGTTGATCGAGCAAAGGTCGAGCAATATTCATCGTGAACGAGAAAAACAAAAACCGCGAGGGGTTGATTTTGTTGAACGAATCACGATTGAACGGATCGGTAAACGCGACAGGCCCCCAATACGGATAATTGTCTTGGCTAATTGAAGCCATCAGGCTGATGTAGACCGACGAGGCGGCAACAGGCTGGTGCGGGCGAAATTCAAGACTCGAACGAGTAAAAAGTGTGCTTCAATTCCTCGGAAACTTGACGCCGCTACGTTGCGTAAAGTGTGAATTAATATCTTGATAGGGTAAATTGACGGAGGCGTGGATTAATTTCGATGTCATCGCTGCCGTCGTCGCGCAGCGTCGTCGAACAGTTTTTCTTTCCGGTTTCAAAGTCGAGCACACTTTATTCGCGAACAACGAACAAAAAAATGTTCGTTGGAATCTGTTAATTTGATATTTTTTTTTTTTAAACGACATCCAAGCGGGCAAAAGTTATAATAATTCGAGAACGAATCTAAAACTGTTGTTTTCGTTGTTCGTGAATAAAATTTGCCCGACTATGCTGGCAAACGAGGCGTGTAACTAGCCGCGCGATGGCGCTGATTGAAGGGGTTGCAGTGGAAAGAAGGTAACTCGAAGAAACTGATTTTTTACCGAGTCGAATTCAATTTTACCGCTTGAAACGATACAGTATTATCATTATTAATGATTACGCTAGTTAGATATAATTGTTATACAGATATTAACATTTGATAAATAAATATTCTTTGAAAGTGAAGTTCAACGACCAAAGATTTTGGCGAACGAAACGAGACGTTTTGCGATTGGATAATTAATTATACGTTGATTTTTCTTTGAAAAATAAATTTCTATTATTAGTTCCATCGCTAATAACAAATTTAATCAAAGAGATTCTTGTCAACGGTTTGGTAGAATAGAATGAAAATTTTTAAAAGACTGATAACCTAGAAATATTGTTTTATTCGTTTCTTAAACGAGTAGCTTTGAATTACCAATTGTAAAATTGATGAAAAATTATCGTGACTCAGTAATGCCAGTTACCATTTTCCTCTGCAAGATCATCAATTCTCGAACCCTTTTTCTCGTACGCGTTGAGTCTCAGTGATTCAGTATGACGAGCAAGCAATAATACGATAATATGTGTGATAAATAAATAAGCTGTCTCGAGTCCTCGCGAAGTTATTGTTCATAATCGTTTGTTTATAATGCTAAGAGCGAGAGGAACCATAGACCACTACCAAACACGCAGACTTTTCAAAATGTCGTCCGCGGGGGCAGTTCGACGAAGTGATATTCTCGAGCTGTTTTCGCGATCGAAGACATCTCAAAGACTAACGTACTTTTTAGCGTAGGTATTTTAAATGTGCCGCAATAATACATTTCACGAGGATGAGAAATCACGAAACGATACGGTGTTCGAAAGTTTGTAAACGAAATGAGAACATTTGAACGGATGTATTACACGTCGAGAAGAATAAAACGTGATCGAAATCAAATATTTATATACTCTAAATAAATAACAATCGATGAATTTGATAAATCAACATCTATTAATAATTAAATTGATCAAAATTCATTAGAAACGTATATTGTTTTCTTTTTATTTAATTTTTAGAACCATATACCGTGTACCATTGAGAATTATTCTTTTCGATGTGCGATATTGTTAACAATGGCTGCAAAACACAGAAGTTCACGAACGGTCGAAATCAACAATGTAAAAAAGTTCCTCTGAATCAAAAAAAAAAACACTAGATGATAATGAGACGTTTTCCACTTTTACAAACAACAAAAATGAAAAACACAAGAATTCAGAAATGTACAGTACTGATTAAACGTGATCAAAATTGGAAAATATTGATTTTCTTGAGATACTCGATCGGTTATTCTATAGAAATAATCATTAAAAATTGTAAATGTAACTGAGATCATATACATTTTTCAAAAATAAAAATGTTTCCGTCCTCTACTTGCAAAACCCGTGTTTCCGACAAAATCAACATTTTTAATGTTCAGGGAGAAATTGTGATCACTAGAACGAGTATATTTAGATGTAATTGGTATGAAAAGCAATTTGTTTTTAGTGATATTAAAAAGTAAAATGGTGTAACAAACAAAAAAAACAAAGGTACTATAGGTGTTTCCTTTCAGGACACAAGTCAAAATTATTTAAACAAAGAATAGCTTTTTATATATAAGTGAGTAATATTAAATCCTCTTTTCATCATCCTTAATCTCTTTAGGGATATACACATGGTCATTTAGTTATTCATTTATTTAAAACATTATAATATGGAAATAAATAAATGATAAACATTACAATTCAACATAAGTTTACGTTTCTTTTTAAAGAGTTAATCTATGCATTGGAAATACGTTATAGGCATCATGGAAGACATACTGCGCATGCGCATATCGGTAGAAGAAAACCGTGGACGTGGACCCCGATTCTGGGCGCGCAATTCAAATCGACGTTTCCTCAACAAATCAATTTTACGAAAATATGGACTCCAGGATAAAAAATATAATATTCACAATAACGTAGTATACTTTTTTCATGAAATTGGAAAAGCAAATCCAATATGAATCTTTCCAATGTTTCTAATCTACTAATTTCGTCATCCTGCGAATAGTGGATGATTAAACGACGGAAGTCTCTTTCGTTGGACCGGTATATTTATTTAAGTACACTCGGTGTGACAAAGAAATTCAAACAAGAACGCAAAGGCTGATGAAATGATACGATTCGGTTGTTAAAGTGATACAGCGAGGTTTTCTTCGTCGAGGACATCCGGGGCGAAGGAAAAAATTCTTTAAAAGGGAGACCATCGCCCTCGTAAAAATGAAGCCGCGGTCTTATTTAGCGCTGCGGAAGTACAATACCTTTTTGTTCGTGATATTACCCGTTAAAATCCTACGCGGACGATTGTCCGCGCAAAAAGAAAACGTCCCCGTTCGAGGGAAAAGAAGAAACGTTGGAAAGTGAAAACTCGCGGACAATGGGGGGAATTGTTTGTTTCGATGGTTCAGCAGAATGTCTAGGAAAACGCCCTTTTGTCGTAGAATTAATGGACAGTTTAAAGCAGCCCACCTCCGTTCACGATTGTACATTAATTTCATCTGACACCAGTACGTTAATGTAAATTATTGGACACAGAGATTAGAGAAAATTTTTCATCTTTAATGATATAATTATTATGATTATAGTCTTTTTACGTTTCCTTTGGAACCATCAATGTAAGCATATTAACAATCGAGGAAATGCTAATGTATGACAGTATTACCCGGCTATATGAAATTTTTTTTACCCGGATAAGTGAAACAATTCCTACCCAAATTTGATCATAACAATCGAGGAAATGCAGATGTTAATGCATTACAGTATTACCCGGCTATATGAAATTTTTTTTACCCGGATAAGTGAAACAATTCCTACCCGGATTTCAAATTTTCCATCCTAATATATGAAATGCTTTTTAACTGTACATACGAAACAATTTCTATTCGGATACGTGAACCTGACCCGGATATGTGAAAACAAGCAGACGCGATTCTGTTTCTTATAACCGGGTGATACCGAATTCTGCATCTGCAGCGGAGAATAAAATGTGTCACGAATTATTAAATGTCCTAAAGAGATTCGGGAAGAGGAAATATGTTTTATTTAGTATCGAACAAGAATATTTAGCGTGGTTTGTTGGTGAAAAGTGAGAAAAAAATTCTCGTAACGAAGCAATTCGTTTCTCGAAGATCGTGGCGTCTGTGTTTTGCAGTTTGAAAATGGCGAACGGAAAAAGAAAATCGACGAACCGTGCGTAATGCATACTATAGACAATCAAAAACGCGTCACGAGTTCATCAGCGACGCGCGAATCATTAATCGCGGAATTTCGCCTGCATCATCGTTCGATTTCGCGCCGCACGACAACGTGCTACGTCAATGATAACGATAATAACGATAACTGTAATTATAACGGTAACAATAATAATCGTAACGATCGGTGCATATTACGCAATAAACGAGGACTAATCGAAGTTAAGGAAACAAAGATAATGAATGTCTTGTAAATAGTAAGTGTATAAATTGTCATTGTATAGCGGTCACGAATATTGTAGCTGGATATACGATTGTACTTTAAATGTCCACTATTTCTTTTTGTTATGTCTTATTTAACGAGGATCAGTCGAAATAAAGATTGTTTTTTGAACACCGATGTTTCCGTCCCCCCAACTGTATCGTTTACAAAAATACAGTTTCTGATTTTTAAGTTTTAATGAAAATAATTATCTGTCTAAACTGTACTAGCATTAATTGTAGGAATACTAATGTGCCAACGAGTCTGCATCATTTTAACGAACATCGTTATATAAACGGAGAACAAATGTAGGATTTGAAAGTTCCAAAATAAATTATAAAAATATTGGCAGGCCAAAATAAGACGAAAATCAAGAATATCACTTTCTTGACTGACGCTTCGTTAAAAAGTTATTAAAAAATTTCAAATCGTGTTGAAAAAAATATTTTCAGTTACAAGAGTCAATTACAATCATTTTTGGTGAATAGACCTATCCCCGAAATCCTGCTCAGTTTCGAGAAAAAAATTCATTACCGAAAATTCCATGTCTGACAATACCATCGATATGTTTCACTGAAATTTTTCGGCCAAAAAAAAATTTTTTCATATCGTTCTGAAAAAATTATTTTCGGTTACAGGGGTCAATTACAATCATTTTTGGCGATTAGATATATCCCCGAATTCCTACGCACTTTCGTGGAAAAAATTCGTGTAGGTGGACAAATTTGATTAATAATTTTGTCAATAACTTTTTAACGAAGCCTTAATTAGCAAATTGGTGCTCTTGATTTTCGTCTTATTTTGGCCTCTAGAATCTCTCATTATAATTTTTTTCAGGGGTGGTCGAACACCCTGTACAATTTCCCCCCTACGGGTCAAGAAATGTATTTGTTTGAAATATTGTAGGTGTTTATTATCTTCCCCCATTGATTCTTCTCGCGAGACTGATTCGTCATACGCGACGTTTAATGAAATTCCTAAATACAGCGGTAGAACGACGTGGTCCTGGCGTAGCCGTTGCGCATTGCAGCAACCCCACTACAAACACCGCTCCGAGCTGCATGTACATATCTAATGCAGCAGCTGGCATGCATTGCAGTCACAATTCTACGAAACCCGCCTCTTTGATTGCAACGTGCAACCGAGGACAGTTAATTGCCAGAATTCTTTTCCTTGCAACACCTCCAGGAAGAATCCAACCCCTCCCATCCATCATCCACCATTTTAACCTTCCATCAGCGTGACTCTAAAGCCACGTACCCATTATCCACACTTTTCAGTCCTGATTTAATTATCAATTAAAATAATAAAACAACTATTTTGCAACACCCCATACTAGGGTGAGTATAGTTGAAAATTTGTGTTTACTGAAATTTACCTCCTAATTTCTCGGTATTTATATAGTATAATTTTTTTTTAAATATAGTATAGGCTATAGGGGGCTGTACAAAAGATCTACTATTACAATTTAATTTGTACAGTTCATATTAAAAATTGCTAAATCCTTATAATTTATTATTCAAACGAATAATTCATAGCTGATGCTTTGAGATTAATCATAAAAATAATTTCAATTCTCATACCGAGTATAAAAATTAAAAGCTTTTTATATAAAATTTTCATTCTAACTTTTAGTTCTCATGCTTTGCAATATGAATAAAAATAAATTAATATTCATAAATCAACGTCACCTTCGCTCGTGTTTACTATCAATTGCATCACGCTTTTATGCATAAAACATCGTCGAAATTAATCACTTCTCCATAAAGGGACCTCGATACTTTTTTCTTTGAAAGAGTGAAAAAAAAAATAGAAATGATCTTGAAATATTTGAAACACATTCGAGCGCGGAGGAGACGTACAGACAATTTTTCGTAATGAAATTTTTCACGTTCTTCCACTGTATTAACGTCATGACTTGGACTAGATTCGCGGGACACCTTGTATAATTGCATAGATCCCAAATGATACGCAAAATGTATAAATCCCTGAAACATGGGGGGTTGATAACCATCAAGCTCGTTTGAATTACAGTTTTACACCGGTGAAACGATAAAGAAAAAAATCCTCTCACGGAATGCATTTAATTTCTATTTGCCAGGCATCTCGTTGGCTGCGATAAAAATTAGCTGCCCAAAGGTAACCCCGTCCCGCTTCAAAGGGAATTAGGTTCATCCGTAGTAACAAACAAGCCGGTTGATGATTTCTCATCAGTGCACTCGAAACTTAATCACATTCAGCATTACGGGGCTAATAGGATTGTTTTCGCGAAAACTGCATACATCGGGGCCATGTAATTATACAGGTATTGTCAGCGAGCTGTTACGAGAGGCACTGAAGAGGTCCTCTCGGCTTAACAACATTTCCTCATTACTCTGTATTCCGTTTCCGCATCAAAGTCTCCATCCGTGATCTAATTTAGTTTTCATTCGTGGACGCGGAAACCGCAGCGGCCGATAACGCCCGGGAATCCCCCGCCCCCTTCCACTCTCTTACTGTTCTTATTATAATTGAACGCATTTTATTACCTAGGTGCTTCGAGGCTCTCCAAACGACGTCGTTTCGACGACGAGAAAACGTTGATCACGCCCATGGAATGCTTTTGGACCAAAGGCGCTCCGCTAAATATTCCGGGCGAGGCGTTCGAAACGAGCCACCACCGAATAATTCGCCGTTTCGGCCGTCAGAAAGTCGCATCGAACAGATTTCCTCGAGGAACATATTCCACGCATTCCTAGACACGCCCATATCTAATTGTTTTCGTTGGACACGCCCATCATTCCCACTGGACACGCCCATCATTCCCAATGGACACGCCTATCATTTCTTTACCTTCGTAGCGCATCAACGTCTTCGCCCCGAAGTATCAACAAAGGTAAGGGATTTAAGGCGGATCAATATTGACCGAAAACTCGAAGGTCTTCGGCGAAGAATTGATTCACGTCGGTGGAGAGAATTACGCGACCTTGGCGAAGCGGAAAGGGTTGATCCCCGGCACTGATTAAGCGCATGCAAAACCACACCTACCGCGAAGACCTTGTTCCGTACACGGGTGCGATGGTTTTAAAGCGTGTGACTCGACTCGATCGCAGAAGAACGTCGGATCACGCTCTTTATCCACGTCTGATCTTCGTAACGACGTTTACACGCTCTGATAGAGAAGTTTCAGGCGGATCGGAAACGGGTTTGATTCGAACGACAAAGAAACAATCGTTAAAAGCTTACGCGGCAATTTACGCGAATCGTGGGAATTGAAAATGTTCCGAGCGACAAAGGGGAAAACCATTTTATATTCATATCCGACCTTTCCCGTTAATTAGAACTTGTGAACACGACAGTGGAAACTTCGTGGCGCCACGGTGTACGAAATGCGAAGAGAATTTCAAGGGTTTCGAGGCTCCCGGCCCACCGAAGAGAACAACCGACTGTGAAAATTTAATATAAACGATGCACGTTGCCGCCTGTCACCCGCCTCACGGTTGAAACTCAACATTTTTTGAAACGATTAATTTCCAAAAATCTACCAACATTTACGCGAACGGTCCTGCGTACGTCTCGTTGCTCTAAAGGAAGAGTAATTAAAAGTCTTCCGTCGTCCGTGGCGCTCGTTTCTTTTCTCAAAACCTTTTGTTTCGCCGTGGAGCGTACCGTAAGTTTCGTGAAATACGAAGAATCTCGGCGCTTTTCGAGGCACGAAGAAAAACGAAAAAAGGTCCTGCGGGGTGACAGAAATTTACAGCGATACGGAATCACCGAACGGATCCTAGCTGCTCGTGATTTCGTGGAACATTCGACGCTACCCTGGCTCTTCCCTCAGTTTAGAGTTGGTCGTTAAGGGCAAAGACGCGGGAAAGAAAAGAGAAGAAACGCGAAATTGCAGAGAATGCATCGGATACGCCGGGAGAGTTTTATCTCCGCCTCTTGCGAGGCTATCGAATCCTCAATCTTCCACCCGCTCCATCGGTTCTCCTACACCCCCCCCCCTCGATCCACCCTCACGGTGTCGAACGATTCATTGCTCCAACGTAACACTTCCGTTCCATTATTTTTCATCGTCCTTCATTTTTCTTGATCCGTGTTGCCTCGCGCGTTTACGTTTTCAATCTATGCATATCCCATTCCCCCGTCCTTATGGCCTCCGTCTCGAGGATACTGCCGCGTAGTTTTTCCAACATTTTCATTTGGAGTTTCGGATGGTAACAATCGATGTGAAAGGAATTGCTCGAAATGTTGCATGAAACTTCTTGTTACGATAAATAAATACACTTTCGATGCACCTCAAACACCGTTGCAACATCCACGATCGAAGGAGTAAAGAACTCGTTCATTTGTATTTGTATTATTTTCTCATTTCAAGCACAAAGATATTGTTATGTAGAGCAGTTATTTAAAGGTTCATTATAGTTCTCGTTCGTTCGTTACAACATCAATTCTAAGTGTGCTGTTCCTCAGAATCCACGTTTCATTCACAAGGGTAGTTTCACCTCCTCTGTAGACCCCAGTAATCGATTTAACTTTGAGTTCTTAGAAAGTGGTGGGTATCAGTCGAATCTATTCCGTTCAAAATTAGCCGGTGCACTATCAGGGGAGCCTTTTCCCCCGTTTTCGATTCGAATCCTCACAATGGCCACCGACTGCTGGAGAAATTTCGCGCCGGAATAACGTGACTCGAAGCGTCTTGCAGCCGTCACCGACACCCAAGCCATTTCCATTTACTTTCTGTTTAGCTCCCACCCCCTCCCCCTGATACTCTCGAAATGGGATACAGTTCATGAAGATTCTGGCCGCGCGTCGCTGATGTTTTTTTGCTCCCTTTAAAGGGTTACGGATACTCCCGACTTTCTCAGCTCTCGTTCGCTCGTTGTTTTACCTTTCTTCGCGCGCTGCAGGGCCCGTCGTATTCAAGAGGGAAGGTAAATCGAGTTTGTTTATGCAGCTGGAAGCCTGGCATCGTAATTCAATTTCGTCGTTGGCTCTTATTTGACGGAGCCGGGGGAGCGCAATGGTACGTATCAGCGCGAATGAAATGCCGCAGACGCG